TGAGTAAAAAATTCGAGATCTGACCGAAAAACCAGTCTAAACCTTTGGTGTCGGAGAGATTGAATTTTGTGGGAATTGGTTTCTGAGAATACGAAAGATGGTCGAGGCGACAAAGGATGTTCTTCCTCGAAATAGCTCCGATTTATACGATGAAGATGGCCGTCCCAAGCGAACCGGTAATTTTTCTTTTTTTCTAATTTATCTTTTTATGATTTTTTCGTAAACGAAATTGTTGAAAAATAGAATCAGAGTACAAAAAAAACAAAATTACTCTGTCTCGACTCTTTGACTTGTTCTGAACTCTGTGTATATGCACAAGCTTTCTTCCAACAACATCAATATGCAATATACAGTCACTTTACAATTTTTGTAACGTTTTAGATTGTACCAATCACAAAAGAATTGTAACTTATACCGTTTTAGGTTACCAATTGGATCCCTGCAGAATTTGTTTCTCGAATAGATTATGTTCGTTTAAAGAATTGTGAAAATAAAGATGATTTTTTTATTTATTAAATTTGATTTGGGAGCAGGGACGGTGTGGACAGCAAGTGCACACATAATAACGGCAGTGATTGGGTCAGGAGTCTTGTCTTTGGCATGGGCAATTGCTCAGCTTGGTTGGGTTGGTGGACCAATAGTGATGTTAATGTTCTCTCTCGTCACTTATTACACTTCTATTCTCCTTTGCGCTTGTTACCGCTCCGGCGACTCTGTCACCGGCAAGCGAAACTACACTTACATGGACGCTATCCAATCCAACCTCGGTATATAAATTCACTATTTTCTCAATCTTTCTCGGTTAAAAAAAAGTAAAAAGTAAAAAAATATCTGGATTCTCTTTACAGGTGGCGTTAAGGTGAAAATATGTGGAATTGTTCAGTATGTTAACCTCTTTGGTACTGCAATTGGGTACACTATTGCATCAGCAATAAGCATGATGTAAGATTCTCAAACTCTGTTGTTTTTTTTTTTTAAATGTGCCAAATTCTTCCAAAAAGTAGATGCGTGTCCCACTTGGCTTTTCAAGATAGTCCATACAAATCATTTAGTTGTAGCTCAATAATGCTCTGTCAAAGTCAATGTAGCCTAATTAAAAAATGCCTATTGAAAGAATCTGCAACAAATCAATTACTTTAAGATTCGAGACTACAACTATAATTTGTTTGGCTTATGCGAATTTATCTACTTTTTTTTTTATGGTTGTAACGAATACAGAGCAATTCAACGGACGACTTGCCAACACACTCATGGGGAGAATGCATCATGCCATGTCAATGGGAATCCTTACATGATTGCGTTCGGTGTAATTCAAATCATTTTCTCTCAGATTCCAGATTTTGATCAGTTATGGTGGCTGTCCATTGTCGCGGCGGTCATGTCCTTTGCTTACTCCTCCATTGGGCTTGGACTTGGCATCTCCAAAGTGGCACAAAACAAAGAAATCAAAGGCACTATCACTGGAGTCACGATTGGGACAGTGACACCGGCTCAGAAAGTCTGGAGAACCTTTCAGTCTCTTGGGAACATTGCTTTTGCCTACTCTTACTCTATGATTCTCATCGAAATTCAGGTATTTTTTTTTATGCGC